TACCAAACTAATTTTATGGTATCAAACTACTTAAAATAAATAGGCACTCCACAGCATACAAATGTAGATGTCCAACACCTGCAGAAATAATAGTAATCATTACATTTAATATATGTTTCACATTGGGAGGAAATCTCAAAGCACTTTCCTGTATTTACTGTAAAGTATAATGACTGTTGTCTGTCGGCAAGCGTAGCAGCCAGGTTGCATACAGCAATGTCCCACAAATAGCCAAGGAGAGGAATGACAAATTTATCTGGGGAATTTTGTTCAAGAGACCAAGGAGAAACTCTCTTCTCTTTGTATGGTGCCGTGGGATCTTTCAAGTACACCTGAACACACAGATAGGATCTCAATTTAATGGCTCATCTGAAGGACAGCACCTTAAACAATGCAGCACTTCCCCATCCCTGTATTGGAATGGGAGAGTAGAATGTTCCAATGTGGGACTTGAACTCACAACTTTCTTAGAGGTGAGAGTGCAAGAAACTTAGTCAGGCTGATATCTGAACATCGATATCATAACTGATAAACCACAGTCAGATTGCCAAAAACAAATATGGTATAATGCTGTTTATCAGATGATGCTGGCAGATTAAACATGTTGCTTGCTTCAGAACATTTCTGTAATGTTTTGGCCATTGGGCACTTTTTGGCCATTGGGCATGTGCAGACCTCTAATCATAGGATGCAGCTTAATTTTTTCAACTTCAGATCTGCCTATCTCTTATAATCAGGCCCTCTTCTGTTGTTGCTAAGATTAAATAAGATGTTGCGATTCATAAGTGGTTGATACTGTGATGCTTAATAAATGCAGAGCGATTGGGTGCTTTCCTGGCTTGTTGGATGCTACAAGTGGCCAGTTCTGTGGATCCGACTGGAACTGATTGTACTTCAAGGTCCAATCATTCCTGACAGCATCTCAGCAATAATTGGACAAAAAGGGATTTGTAATCCTACCTTTTTGGCTGAGAAAAGGCTTGAAAAGTGAGACAAACTGCTGGTAAGTAAAGCAGCAGCTTCATTTATTCCAGCAATCCCACTTTAGGAATTTAAAAGTTGGCGATCTTTAGAAAGTCAAAATCAGGAACTGCAATTGACAGGATGCATTCTAAATACGGTGGGTAATAGGCATTTTGGTTCCAGATAAATAAATCATTAATAGCTAGGAGACATGTACAAAACATTCAAAAGGCCAATTGGACCCTGGTCATTTTCACAAGAAGCTCAGAACCTAAAAGCAAGAAAATACAATTGAAACATACTGTTCAGAATTCATATGAAATTTGTGTACTTCACCTTAGAAAGAATATATTAGCCCTGAAGGAAATCTGGTAAACGTCCATACAGCTGAGTACAAAATTATACATGAAGACAAAGATGTAAAGAAAAAAAATGAAAAACTGTGACTATCCCCTCCCCTTCCCCAGGCTCAGGTCTGAAATGCTGTACACTGTCCAGTGCTTTGGGACATCCTCCCGACGTGAAAGGCGCTATACAAATGTAATCTTGTTGTTGTTATCCTCGCGGGGAAAATATTATAAGGTACGCATAGGCAGAAGATGAAAGAGCACATATTTAAAGTTGTGATGGACACTTTTTGGGCAGACTTTTTTTTAAATTTGCACTTATTCAGGGATGTAAGGATTGCATGAACATCAACGACTGATCAGTACTGATTGCAAACTGGATTGACCAGAGGACCAGCCATGTTAAACATGTGGCTATGCATATATTATATTTGGTATAGGTTAGCTGCCATAAGTACAGTTTTAAAGAAAGTGTTAGTACATAATAATAATAATCCTTGCATTTGATATAGCGTTTTTCACGTCGGGAGGACGTCCCAAAGCGCTTCACAGAACACACTGTAAAGTGAATTGACTGTATATTTGTGGGCGAACACGGCAGCCAATTGCGCACAGCAATGTCCCACAAACAGTCGTAGATTGAAAATGACCAATTTATTATTGTTTTTGGTTTTGGAGGAATTATTATTAGGGCTCTGTGTGGAGTAAGGAAACTTGCCCAAGGTTTCACCCTGACAGGGATTGAACTCAGGTCTCTCGCTTGCAAAGCGAGTGCTCTAACCACTCCCCCCCAGCCCCCTGATCTCCCCCCCCCCAGCCCCCTGATCTCCCCCCTCCAGCCCCCTGATCTCACCCCCAGGCCCCTGATCTCACTCCCCACCTCCCTGATCACTCCCCTGATCCCCCCACCCCACCTCCCTGATCTCCACCATCTCCCCCTCTTCCCTCCTTAAATAAATGTTACAGTAATTAAGATAATAATTTGTATTTGATATAGTGCCTTATCACGTCTTCGAGATGTCTCAAAGCGCTTCACAGAATATACTGTAAAGTGAATTGACTGTATATTTTGTGAGCGAAACTCGGCAGCCAATTGAAGGGATTATTACCCTCGGAAAAGCGATCTGCCAATCAACTAACAATCAGGTTCCTACTTACTGCTAGGTAAACAGAGGTGTGTAAGAAACTTCCCTATCGTTTCGCTCTGCATGGGAATCGATCTCTTGGTCCTCTCTTGTGAGGCGAATGTTCTAACCAGTACTCTACAGGACTCCGCAAGGAGGATTATTAAATTCGACTTTCCCTCAGACCTTTCCTTTATTTTCAGCACTTAATTTACTCACTAATTCAATGTGGAGTCCTGGAGCTCAGTGGTTAGAGCACTCGTTTTGCAAGTGAGAGACCGGAGTTCAATTCCAGGCAGGGCAAAACCTTGGGCAAGTTTCCTTACTCCACACGCCAAATAATAATCCCTCCAAAACCACCCAAAAATAAAAATTGGTCATTTTCAATCTACGACCGTTTGTGGGACATTGCTGTGCGCAATTGGCTGCCGCGTTCGCCTACAAATATACAGTCAATTCACTTTACAGTGTGTTCTGTGAAGCGCTTTGGGACATCCTCCCGACGTGAAAAGCGCTATATCAAATGCAAGAATTATTATTATTATTAATTTTCAACCAATGAGAAACCTACTACTGTATGCGGTGAGTCACAAACAGAACTCTGGAAAAAAAATATTGATTATAGATGTCATCACTTCTCAGTTGGTTACAAATAGTTTGCTGGAAAACAGACAACCTACAATGAACAGGTTGATTACACCCTACCTTCCTACTCCCCTTTGCTCAGTTGGCTCCAGCCTCCTGCACGTCCCTGGTCTCCTCTGCTCCATCATCGGCAGCTATGTCTTCAGTCAAAACTGTAGAACTCTATCTCAATCCCTTCACCTTGCCTGCCCCCTCCTTCCCTGTCTTCTGATCAAACCTGAAGATCTTCTTCTTCAGCCAGGTCTACGGTCACCTCCCTTCTCCCCAGCTCGGTGTCAAGCTCCACCACTGTTAAGCGCTCTGAATTGTTACCCAGCGTGAAGGGTGCTATATAAATGCAAGTTTTTGTTGTTGATTGAAATACTTTTAAAGGAATTACTTACCTCAATGCTCCCAGAATCAGAAGTACCAGGTGTGCTGCTCTCAATTGAAATAGATGGGGAAAAATTTGATTCTTTTTCCACAGAAGTATCTTCAGTGTGCTCTTCCACTATAAATGCATTAGAAACACTGAAGATGCCATCAGTGTCGATAATCACTTTTATCTTCACGATAGAGTTTTCGTTCTTTGCCTGAGGTACTAAGATGACAAAATGTCCTACGTCCAAAAAAAATTACTTTTAAGTAATGATATTTGGAAACATTCTACAAATTTGGGCGTTTATCATAATTGCTGGAATATACAATACTTTCCATTTTAGGCAATCAGTCTTAGCCTCAAGTATACCCAAATAAAATCTCAACTTACAACACCACTAGATGGAGAATAATATTAAGGCTCTAATGTGCCTTAACTTCAATTTTGGAAAATCAAATGTTAGTTACAGCAGCATGACATTTCATTTTTCACCCTAAACGTAGAAGTTGGAGAGCATCTGGGGTCAAATTATTTGTAGGGCTGAAATGTCCATGAGGGTATGCAAAAGATATTGAGCTACATTTCTGAAATTTAAAACAGTAGATTTCAAGTTTGCAGTAAATCATAGACAAACTGTGGAATGAAAAAAGTGGCATTCAGTGCAACAAACAATACAAATTTACATTTATGTAGCTAGCGCCTTTCACATCAGAAGGGTGTCTGAAGGTGCTTGCACCCAGGCTGAGAACCAACAGGAGTAGGGAAAGATGACTGAAAGTATGGTCAAAGCGGTAAGTCTTGAGGCGGAACTTAAAAAAGGTGAGGGAGGGAGAGACTTGGCAGGAAGCTCCATAGTGGGGGCAGATAGACTGAAATTTATATTTAATTTACCCGCCTTTGGTCGGGCAAGGGAAAATAAAGCAGGTTGGTGCCTGCTGAGACAAGGGAGCGACCAGGTTGGTAGGATTTGAAGAGGTCGCAGAGATACGTTAGTTGAGACCATGGAGGATTTAAAAGGTCAAAATGATGACCTTGAACTCAATTTGAGTTCTTTTCACAGACCAAACAAAACCTACCCTATCATGATTCCACCAAACTCACTAACAAATGTCTGCATACATATTCTTTGATCTTCAAAGGTAATTTCAGAAAAATGCAAAAATGCAAGTTATTGTAATCATTCCTGCAATTAATTGTTCTGTGTATATATTTTTTTAATCCCTGTCTTCAGGGTGTCTGTTATAGAATTTCCTTTCAAATCCCTCAATCTGTGACTTGTAATACAGTCTTGGTGAATTCTATATTGTTTGGGGTTTACTTTGTCAATTCTATTTGTCATCTTTGACACCTCTGAAAGGGACCTTCTGGGATGCTTAAGAGTCCTGGCTTATCAAGTTGTTCCTCACCCTCTTACTCTGCCCAGGATAAGGTAAGTTATGCACGTGTGTGAATGGAACAAACTTCATGTATCAAATGGTCTATGATATACAAGGTTTTACCTTACCTATATTTTTTTCAGGTTGAGAAAATGATTTAGAATCTTTGAAAGAAGCTTCCAATTCAAATGGTCCTTTTCTAACAAAAGTGAGAATCCTTGAAGCAGGAACTGGATCATTTTGGGAAAAAATTTCCTGGATCCTGATGATAGGTAACAGCAGTTCAAATTAATTTGCAAGTAATGATGATTTTAACAAATGTACCTTTAAACCTGTCATTATGCTTTAGTTAGCTTGAAAAAAGTCATTCACACATTTTAAGCAATATAAAAAATAATTTCTACATTGAGGAACTTATCCAATAATTAAATATTAACTAAAAATAAATTCTGCCTTACTCTTCTGGTGCATTTTTTTTTGTAGTCCATTTCATGATGATTGGGAAAGGTACTACATCAATAATACAGAATTCACGTACTTTAAATGCAGGTGAAAGTATTGCACACTAAAAGTAGGGGAGACAAAATATGTATTTCTTAATAACAAGACATTAAAAACTTCTTTCCAGTTAGACTGACACCTAAGGCCCCAAATCTTACCTAGCCTTAGCCTATTACTTTTCTTAAAAATAAAGCACTGAATTATGGAAAATTCTTAATTTCAGTCTTAATTGAGTTTGATCTCAAGTCGCTGTTCTCAACTGGCAGAAATATAGTAAAATTAGGCTTGGTATCCTGGGCTAATCGGAAAAAAGTCAGGAACTGGGGCATAAAGTGAGGGTGAAAACCTTAATTCACTTTACAGTATATTCTGTGAAGCGCTTTGAGACGTCTCAAAGATGTGTTAAGGTGCTCAAACAAATGTAAGGAATATTATTAATATAGATCCACTGGGAGATGGAGACAGTGGAACCTTGTGAGGTCTGGGGTGTGGCTATCTGGAGTGTGGGTTAGGTGAGGATTCAAGCAGTGTAGTTTTAGATAAATTGAAAATTATGGATAGTGGAGTTAATAAGACCAGTGAATACATTTGAAAAGTCCAGGTGAGAGGTAATGAAGCTATGGATAAGGGTTTTGATGACATTTGGTGTGAGATAGGGAACAGGATGGCAATGTGGCAGAGGTGCAGAAAAGTAGTCTTGCTTAGGGACTGGATGTAAGTGAGAAAGGAGGAAAGAAGAGCTGAGGATCATCAAACTGGATGGCAAGATCGTGCACTGGCTCAGTGAGTTTGAAAGAGGTCGGGGAGATTGAGGAAGTCAGAGGGAGGAGGCATTGGTTTGAGCCAAGGAGGATGGCTTTCATATTATCCATATTTCAACGCCTTAGTCATATTTTTCAGCATTATGAATAACAATTACAGATATGATAGCAATTGGGAGTGGGAATGCTGTTTTTTTTCTTCCTACATTGCCAGCCCTGATTTTACTAAATACATATATATTATTTATAAATATATATGCCAGCTGAAAACATTGAGGGACTGAAGCAAGTAGTTCCAGTGATACAGAATGGCTGAAAGCACCGATAGTGGAGCAGAGGGGACAAGGGATGCGCAGAAGACCCGTGCCAGCTGAGTGAAGGAGGCAGGTAGTGGAGTGGGGTGGTGAACATTTGAATCGGAGAGGTAGGGAGGTGCCAAGTGTTAAATGGTTTGAAAGTGAGAATCTTGAAATCGATTAGTTCTGCAACAAAGAGCCAGTGGAGCCTGGCAAAAACAGATGATAGGGGTGCAGAGCCTGGTACGGATAAGGACTTGGGCGGAAGAGTCTTGTATCATTTGGACCTTGATAATAGTGGAGCTGGGGAGGCCAGCAAGGAATGTATTGGAAAAATTGAGGCTGGAGGTACCGAAAGCAAGAATGAGGGTTTTAGCAGTGTTTGAAGTAAGATAGGGACAAAGGCAGTACTGGTCAGGGACCAGATGGGATGGTAGGCAGGATAACTGGGGATCGGCTCACTCCAAGGTATGTTTGAGGGATGGGAAGGTTAAGGGATTCAGAACTGCAGGTGAGAAGACATTGACAAGAGCCAAGCAAGATGGTTTCCGCATTATCCATGTTCAATTGCAGAAATTTGGGGTTCATCCAAGCCTTGATGTCAGACAAGCAGGCAATCAGAACATCAATAGGACTGGGGCAGCGACTAAAGCAGAGAAAATAGATTTATGTGTCATTCGCATACACGTGGAATTTGACCCCATGTCTGCGGATGATATCAAGAACAATTTGCACTTATACAGCGCCCTCCACGCAGGGTGGGGACTCAGAGCATCTCATATCACTAAGAGAGAGCACATAAATGAGAAAAAAGGAGGCCGAGAATAGAGCCTTAGACTTTAGAGGTCTTGTCAGACGGTGGTGACATACTTGCCTTGTTAAAAGTGCTTCCCTGAGCTAACTGGGAGTCCAAGTTAGGGTGGGGGACGAACTGAGTAGGAGGACGGGGAGCTGAGGAAGGGACTAAGAGCAGGAAACCTGGTTATTTTTCTGGGGAAGCTGGCACAATTTAATCTCCTGAGACCAGGGACTAGAATTTGAAACTGAACTACTGGTCCATAATCCATTTCGACACTATGGCTGTCCACAGATAGACTTTTAGATACATTGTGAAAGCAGAGAGGGAAGGAGCAAAGTAAAGGGATTTTGGAAGTGCAGGCGTAAATTGGGTAAATGCTCAACCTCCCGTTGTGAAAGGTGCTATATAAATGCAATTTGTTGTCTGTTGTTGAATTACATAATTTTCAATGCTAAATGGGGCAGAGTTTATGAGGGATGTGAAGGAGGCCAGAGTTGGCAGAGCAGGAGCTGGCAAAGGAGTAGGGCAGTAATTTATAGGTACCTAAAATTATCAATAATTATCAGTTTACTTGAAGACTAGTATCGACAGTCTGAATCATCCAATCTAATATTATACAACATTGTAGACCGCTATTGCATGTAGTTTAATAAAGTAATTTCCAAACGTATGCATTTACTCAGATATTGTACATTTAAGCTAGTGGAAATAATACAAACCTTGTAAGAATAAGAATATAAGAAAACAACTAGAAGCAAAATAATATTTTTTTCAATTTTTAAAATTGTAATTACACCATTTCCCAGATTTTACATCAATAAGCTTTTTCTAAGATTAAAAATATAATTAGTTTTATCCCCCTTGATCTACAATAATTCAATAGTAACTCTTAGCTTTCTGTTCAAACAATATTCCATTGGCTAAGTACATATTTTCTTTACCTGCAAAGCACAGCCTTTTGCGATAGCTTCATCTGCATTGAGAGTGGTGCTGATATTTTTGCCAAATAATTGTATTATCTTTTCTTTCACTGCCTGAATACGTATGGCACCACCAATTATCTCTACTGCACTAATATCTTCAGGTTTGAAGTTTATTTGTTCCATAACTGATTTAACTGGAATTTCTATCCTCTTTAACAGCTCTGCACATAGCTCTTCAAACTGAGCCCTGGGACACAAATGAGTAGATTGATCTTTTAAATGTGACCAACATTTGATTAACTGTACAATTTTCAAATACAAGATTAGTGAAGCAAGGTACTGTATATTTCATTTAATAATTTTTCACCCACTGTAATTTCCAAAATTCAATTTCCAATTAATTAAGCCAGTCTTCTTGCATCAAAAAGGCAGCTTGAATCAGCTAAGAAATATTTACTGATTATGACCAGGTTTTGAGCAAATCCGTTCTACAAATAAATAGTTTGAGTCAGCTAAGGGATTATGTCCAGGGTTTGAGCAATTCTGTCTTCGTATATTGTTAATATTAGGAACAAAATAGTTTACATTCATGTGTTAAAACATTAATCATGTTTCTTTTTACACACCATAATTGTATTTCCAAATCTGTCAAAGTGTTTAAATGTTTTGCTTTACCTGTTCATTTTTCCAGTTACATCTAAATCATTCATTAAGCATTCAATGTTGAGTGGGATATCAATGGAGTTGGTGCTTATTAGTTTCTTTAGTTTCTCACATTCTTCATTGAGTCGCAGGAAAGCTCGAATATTAGACTTTACATCCAGTTTGTATTTGGTTTTGAATTCTGAACAAAAATATTCCACTAATATTTCATCGAAGTTCCTGCCTCCCAAATAAGGATCGAAGGCTGTTGCTAGAACCTTAATTGAGAAAGGACGGAAAACTTTTAAAGGTTTTAAAGAAACATTTAAAGAAATATCAAAAAGAACCACAGCAGTATGAAAGTTTTGTGTGCATGGAATGAATTCAATGCAAACTCTAGACTATCCAGTCCTTGGGACATCCTCCCGATGTGAAAGACACTACGTAAATGCAATTTGTTTTTTTTTAAATTACATAATTTTCAATGCTAAATTATGTCATATTACAAGGATCATGATTGCTATATACATTTATTCAACAGTATAAAATATGAAAAATTCTACATTAACTTGGCCTGATCAGTGTAAATTTATATGAAGAATAAAAGAAAAATTCACTTCACTTGTATACTGAATATGCCATAATAAACTATATTACTGAATACTCCAAAGAAGCCATTCGAAGAGACAAAGTGGAAATGCTGCTATAGGTAAGAATGAAAACAGAATAGGATAGAATCTTGAAGATGGATTCTCCACAAAATATACAGTCAATTCACTTTACAGTATATTCTGTGAAGCACTTTGAGATGTATCCCCTGCCCCCCGGCTCGGGGTCCTACTCCGCCACTGTCAAGTGCTCTGGGATGTTGCCTTGCATGAGGGGTGCTATATAAATGCAAGCTGTTGTTGTTGTCTCGAAGATGTGATAAGGCTCTATATCAAATGCAAGGATTATTATTGTTATTATTATGGAGCAGAGAAGACAACCAATGGCGAAGGATATACTGGTTGACTGTGTTGAAGGCGACAGAGAGATCGAGGAGAACGTGGAGTCAGGGAAAGAGTCCTGGTCACAGGCAGCGACTCTTGTTGGAGACTTTGACTAAGGTAATCTTGGTTCTATGGATTGGGCAAAAGTGCTTGGAAAGGAAAGTGTGAAGCTGAGGAGGCAATGACTAGTTGTGGAGTCCTGTAGCTCAGTGGTTAGAGCGCTTGCTTTGCAAGCGAGAGACCTGGGTTTGATTCCTGGCAGGGTGAAACCTTGGGCAAGTTTCCTTATTCCACATGCCTGATGATAATCCCCCCCAAAAATAATAATAAATTGGTCATTTCAATCTACTACTGTTTGTGAGACACTGCTGTGTGCAATTGGCTGCTGCATTTCACCCACAAATACAATCAATTCACTTTACAGTCTATTCTGTGGAGCGCTTTGAGACGTCTCAAAGACATGAAAAACGCTATATCAAATGCAAGGATTATTATTTTGATGCAGTTCCCACTTCTCAAAAAAAAAAAAAAAAACAATCGACCCTTCTGTGCTCTCAAATTACCATTTCATCTGTTACCTGCCCTTTCTCTTCAGGATGCTGGAACTAATAATAATAATAATAATCCTTGCATTTGCTATAGCGCTAACCACTGAGTTACAGGACTCCATGGAATCGGGAGGGGTTCACCAGTCTACTAGCAGGAGGCAAGGAAATGAAGTTGGTTGATCAGGAGAGGGGTGAGGATGTGTGTCAAGAGAGCAGGTCCTGGGTTTCATGAGGGAAGAGAGGGATGACGGAGAGATGGGCGTCAAAGATGTGGAGGGAGGTGAGGGTGGAAGAGAGGTGAGGAAGGAGTGTGGTAGGGGGTTGGCTGAAGCAGCAGAGCAGATCCTTCTATAGTTTAGTCCTAAGAAAGTCAATCATCTCATCATTTGGAATTGGAGAGGACAGGAGGAACGTGGGTGAAGGAGGTGGTTCCTGGTGGAGCAGAGCTAGGGTTGTCCTTAGCCTCCAGATTGATCGTGGAGTAGGATAAATTGGCTAAGGCGAGGGCAAAGAGATAGGTTTTAGTGTGGTCCATCTAGTTCTGGCAGTGGGCGGTGAGAACAGATTTAAGTCATCAAAGTGATGAATGGAAAAATCTACGAGATGGATTTTGGTTACCATAAGAGAATGTATCACTGCTACATGTTTTCAAAAAATGTAGCCAATATATTAAATTACCTTAAATTTCCCCTTGTTGAAAGCACAGATAGAAACTTGAAAAGCTGAATGACCCATGTCTACAAATGCTACGATTGTGGCCTTTTCATCAGCAGCTGGAAAATCTTTGTAGATTCCATAAGTTAAAGCAGCTAAAATATAAAAGGGTAAAATATCAACACCATTTTTAATAAATAAGCTTCAATTTAAAAAAAAACTGTATCTAACACCACACCTGCAGTAGTATCATTCATCAATCGTAAGCAATTCAAGCCCGCAATACGAGCAGCAGCCAGCATCGAGTTCCGTTCTGCATTTGTGAAGAAATAAGGTACCTACAAAAAGATCAAAAGAAAGCAATAAAAACTACCTTGTTTGGCTTAATCCTTTAAAACCTTAAGTTGCAATGCATCTACAAGTGGTGATTTAAGATGGCTCTCCTTTAAAAAACACAAAATATTTAAAACTTTTACAAAATAAGAGTTCACATTTGAGTTGTGAACATTTTTAGATAGTGTGGCAAAGTAGTAAAATTCCATCATTGGCCAATAACTGCCCTGTGATAGACTACATATTTACTGTAAATCCAAATTATATTCTGTATCTGTATTTAGTTATAATAAATAATAATCCTTGCATTTGATAGAGTGCTTTCCAAGTCTTCTAGACGTCTCAAAACGCTTCACAGAATATACTGTAAAGTGAATTGACTGTATATTTGTGGGTGAAACGCTGCAGCCAATTGCGCACAGCAGTGTCCCACAAACAGTCGTGGATTGAAGTGACCAATTTATTATTGGTTTTTTTCTTGTGGGATTATTATCAGGCGTGTGGAGTAAGGAAACTTACCCAAGGTTTCACCCTGCCGGGAGTCAAACCCAGGTCTCTTGCTTGTGAGGCGAGCACTCTAACCACTGAGCTATAGGACTCCACAGGAGTCTATAATAGGTATTATGGGTATAATAGGTATTATAGACTAAGAAATTGATAAACAAGTTTATACCAAGTTTCAAACAAATTTCAAAGTCTTACAGAAATCACACAATCTGACACAGGCCTTTTCAGATCAATTTCAGCTGTAGACTTCAGTTTGGAAAGCAGCATGGCTGTGATCTGTTCTATACTGAAATGTTGCTCATTATCCAAGTACATTACCTAGAAGCACACAACACATAATGAGCAACTAATTTAGAAACACTTATTAATAACAAACTTATTTAATGACTGAAATCAGTCGTATTACTCCTTTCTATACAGTTTCAATTTTTGTGGTTTGCGATCAACGGTCTGCACTATTCTAGGTTGAATCATACTTAAGATTCTTAAGAAACAATTAGGTCTTCCTAATCACTTTTTTAAAAAAAAACTTCTGTCTGAGACCGACTGCCACAACAATACCCCCTGGCTTACTGGGTATCTGGAATCCAAACCTAGCTGGACCAGGCCTGAAACCTAAAACTTAAAAATAAATTCTGCGGCCAACAATTTCCTCTGGTCATGTGTCGACTCACAATTCTCCTAGCACGTAACTATCCTTATTGACCTTTTGACTCAGATTGTTTGAATCCCATGAGCAAAAAATAGTTTATTCGCCATCTTCTGCTCGTGTATTCAAACAATTACAATGCTGGCATTGGTAATTACTGTCATTTCTAAAAAATGCTGGTAAATGCCGGTACCAGAATTGTAATTCCACTGGAAATTCCAGATTGCCGGATCGGATCACCCCCATATGACCACCCCCCACCCGCCACTAGTCTAGCTAGCCAGGGTTTAAGTGTATATTTGATTTTTTAGTTGCAGATTTTTCTCAAATCAATTTAAAAGTTTTTTATTGAAAACTCAACAATAACTTGCATTTATAGAGTGCCCTTCATGCAGGGTGCTTAAAATTTCCGCATTCAATCTTCAAATATTCATCAACACTGAAGCTGAAAGTCAGCTATACAGAATCAGAATGCTGGTTTCTTGTGAGCAAAATACTTTTGTAGAGCTATTCTGTTGTAATACACTACAATATAAAATTACATTTGTATAGCCTTTCATGTTGGGAGGATGTCGCAAGGTGCTGGACAGTCAGGGATTTGGACCCGAGCAGAGGGAGTGGATTGGGATAAGGGAGGGTGGAGGTCAGGGAGGCTAGCCGAAGGCATGGTCGAAGAGGAGGGTCTTGAGACGTGCTCTGAAGGAATCAAGTGAGGGAACGAGGCAAATGGAATGTGGAATAGAGTTACAAAGGGTGGCGGCGGAGAGGCTGAAGGCCCAACCACCGATGATGGGATGGGCCAGTTGGGGAACACGGAACAGGCCAGAGTCTGCTGAGCGGAGGGCGCGGACAGATTGATAAGAAGAACATTTGGTGATAATATTCAGGCAGGCTTACCTTCATTCCAATTTTATTTTCTACGAGAACAAGGTCAAAAGTTCGCTTAAACTTTGTTTGATCAATGGAATCAATCAATATTTGACCATGGAATCTTTTGAAATCTGATATAGTGTTCTTTGCATTCATGACACTCTGTAAATCAGAATATAACTGAAATTAAGACTGATCACCAGTAAACATATGAAAGGTTGGTAGCATTTTTGGACTTTTGAGCTCATAGTCAAGACTGGCTCCAGTGCAATGCTGGGAGAAGGGGGTTACATTGTCATAGGTACTATTTTTCAGGCATTAAAGGTCACGTGTCCCTCTTCAAATGGACATTGAAAATCCTAAAATGGTGTGTAACAAGGGTGAGAACTCAGATTTCAGCACCATGGGAACATCAGCAATACTGTTTGGAGAGTGGAGTTGTCAATCATGGTCAGCTTGACCAATCAGAATAACTGCTCCAGGCCAACAGAAAAAAACAATCCCAGAAATAATGAGCAGCTCCAACAGGGCAAGTCATGGCAAAGGGCAATCAGCATCCTATTGCATTTTGGATGGAGAACAGGGGCTGGTCTGGCGCGTCACGCAAAAGACAACATAAAGAGGTAACTGCAAAGTTTCACGCTGAATGGTGGCGAAGGATTGTTAAGTAGATGTTTGTTAAGTAAGTATACATGCCGATTGACATCCAACAATCTATCTCTGGAATTTCCATGTGCAGGTGGGATGCATGGAATTCTCAATTTGGTTTGGATACTCTTAAACATGGTGATGGGTTTCTGCATGAGTCAGACAAAATAAATTACAAAAAAATGTAAACAAACGTTTGAAGTACATGTATTGTGTGAGTGTACATAAGGTATTTTCTATTAAAATGAATCAATGTGTCTAAAATGGTGATGAGGTCGCCACAGATATAACTAATCAGTGATTTCTATTGGACAAGGATTTTTTTTAAAACTGACATGGCAAAAGTTTGCTCACACAAAGATTCAGCTTTGATACAAGTTAATTCATTGTCTAGAACAGGGATGGCCAACTATGCGGCCAGTGTGACTATTTTGCTCATGTGTAATATGTAATGCATGTGGCCTGTGGGCTGCATGTTGGCCATACCTGGTCTAGAAGTAGCCTTTTTAATTTATTAGATGCGATTAAAGCAAAAGCTATTTCTTTCCACAGTTATTGAGGCTACAATATCAGCTCAGGATTCAGATGGCTGTGATAAGTCTGTCAAACTTCCATTTATGAACTTTAGTGTTAGGTTACAGCCTTTTATACCTACTTAAATGGGTCAATGATAAATTCTATGATATTTTCTTCTTGGTTAATTGCTGCTCAATCGCTCAATGAACAGTGATGTGCATCTGTGCTTTAGACAGCAAGATGGTGACAGCACTCTCATGCAATTCATACTGAGCTGTGCTGCTCACCAGCAGGCTTGTAGAGAGTTCCTCGTATCTGCCATTCACCAAGCGAGGGTCTGTGCTTGTCGGATGACTAACGAGTAACTATCCTTCTTTTGGGAAGGGGGAAAGAGATCTCCTTCTAGCTGAGAAGAATAACATGCTTGGCAATGGAATGTAAGAATCGAGTGAACCTTTTTTGGCAGTCTCGGTGGTCCGGTTTCTGAGCTGGGGCAGATCCACAGTATTCCAGGATACTGCTGATGACAGACCTGCCAGTGTGGTTCATCAGTAGGACTTGGAGGGGCAGACCAGTCACTGCGAGCAGGATTTCTTCCAATTCATCTCCTGTTAACCTTGTATGCCAAAGCTTTAATCGTATCCAGCTGGACAAGCAGTGGGAAGCTTGCAAGACAGACCTTTCAGTTGCAAGGCAGACCTTTCAATCGCAAGCTAAGCAGTTTTAGCTGATTAAACTCCCAAACCACACTCTGGTATCCCCTGCACTTAATACTCTCCAGAATTTGGCAAACTGGATATGTCACTGTGCACTCCACTCCAAACACAGGAATTTCAATGTGTAGGTGGCATGCACAGGACTCTGGTTTGAATACACTTAAGCATGGCAATGGTTTTTGCATGTTTCAGACACCTGACTAAGCAAAATAAACCATAGAGACATTGTTATAAGACGTCATGCTAAAGCACAAGTCTGCTTATAATGTGGATGTCCTGTGAATGATAGTTATCAGAAGTCAGAAATAAACTTCTATTTTCAGTGTGAACTGGTTGGCTTTCTGTGCAGGCGTGAACTACTTAGCAAGACAGCTGGTTAGCCACAACTGCTCTTGCAAATGCTAGGATAGTTTGTGAGTGGAGTTGGGGCTGACTGGCCAACTTCTTGCATACCAGGTATCCACAGAAAGCCAGTCGGTGCTGTGAGCGACATCAGGGGCAACATTTCAATGCAGAAGTACGATCAGCAGCAATATTTTTCTGGACCCGTTATATGTTGGTGTCTAATTACATAGATCAAAGACATTGCATTATAAAAGGGTCATTCTGTAGTTCAAAATTAACAGATCATTTTTAAAGTTACCTGATGTTTGGCAGCAATCCCAATACATCTGTTTTTCGACCCAAAAGACACTATTGCCCTGGTAGAAGAACAAAATAGAATTCCATCTTACATTAACAATGTCAATTTTAAAAATATCAAGTAATTTGCTGGACACAAGTTACAAGGTGTTGAGTATGAGTAGGGAATAGGTGGTCAAACTTCCTGGTATCTGACCTGAAAGTGCACTTTGCAACTCTAAACCTATGTCCTCTTGTTTTACTGTCTTGGTGCATTCAAAGGTATTCTGGTTTTCTTTTTCAACCTATTTAAAATGTTGTACACCTTTCAGTATATCTATAAGCTCTCTACTTCCAAAACCCACCTATAAAACAATCTTTTCTACTGCATCTTTGACCACTTTCTCCCTATTTCCCTCGTAGCCTTTTCAACTCGGGCTCTCATTAAAAATTTGTAAAGCTCTTTGAGGTATATAGTGAAAGACACTCCTATTATTACAGTGTTATGAATTAACCAAGGGCAGTCTCCAACACAATCTTTAATGGCTGTCAGCAGGGCATGGATTGGAATCTGACTTGGTAGCCACAAATCAAAGCCTGGCACACCCAGCAATACCCTTCTGAAAGCCCCATCAAATGTAGAATTTCCATGTTGTTATGAACGAATGAACACTCATTGTAATTTAATACAAGTTTGTTTTTCCTGCGTTTCTTAAAATACTGGTTCAAACCACAGTTATACCGTGTGAATTACAGACTGTGACCTCAAAAATCAGACCACGTTCACTTACTAATTTCTTTGGGATAAATGCATTGCTTTGTATAGACTTTCTTCCACGGACTTCCTTTGTATATAAAAGTTACACTGACGTTTTTTTTTCTCAACCGCCTACATCAAATGTAGGGCTTATTAAATGGTTATCATAATCATTCTTGTTCCGTTGCCTTTGAGCCACGAGAAAGGTAACGGGTGGTTTTACCGCAGTTACACTGACGTGTGGGGGAGTTACTTACGGGGTACACCGGTCACCGTACTCGTTGTCAATGCACTCGATTCCTCCCATCTTGGCCACAGCGATGTAACAGTTCATTATTCCGATGTCAAATCCCACCACCGACATTTTCACTACACACACACATATATATATATATATATATTTAGTCAGTTGTCGCCCCCTTTTAATCTTAGCCGCGCCGCCGGAGTGAGTGCCGTCGGAGTGAGTGCCGTCGGCGCCTTTAGTCGAAAGCGCCGCGAGCTCGGAGGCCGGTAACCGTCCGGTAACGGTCACCGGCCGCTCGCGACGCCACGTCACGTCACGCCCGCCCACGTCACGCCTCGCGCCTTCTGGAGCCTTCCATCGCGTCGCGGCCCCCACTTGACCGTCGCCGACGCTCGCGCCGACGGGAGTGCCGGCCGCCGAGGCAGAGAATGGGCGGTTTTTCCACGCGTGAGAGAGTCCGCCTCGAGCGGACGGATTTTATTCACAAAGGTATTCAGTCATTGAGGACAAAAGGCACCCGAGACGAGGGGGAATCGTGGCCCGGGCTCAGCGGTCAGGAGGTTGTGGGTCCAAACCTCACGTGGGAACTGATGGTCCAGTGCAGTGCTGGGGGTTGTGTTGTGTGGTGTTGTGGGAGGTGCTGTCCTGCCCATGAGTTAAACCCAGGTCCCCCCTTGGCTTTTCACCCGGACATTAAAGATCCTGTGGCACTATGTAAAGAAAAGGGGGTTTCTTCTGGTGTCCTGGCCAACAACACCCCCCCCCACACACACACAAATCACTCCATAGATTTTGTCGGGCATTGCTATGCGCGAACTGCCTGCCTGGTTTTGCTCACAAAGTACAGTCAATCCACTTTACAATAATATTCGCCCCACAAATATACATCAATTCACTTTACAGTCTACTCAGTGAAGCGCTTTGAGAACGCCAAGAAGAGGTGAAAAGCGCTATATCAAATGCAAGGATTATTATTATATCCTGTGATGCGCTTTGAGGTGTCCCAATGTATTATTATCTTCGACCATGCCTTCGATCACTCTCCTTCACCCGCTCCACCACCCGCCCTCCCCAATCCAACCCCCAACTCAGGTCCGAAACACTGACTGTCCAGCACCTTGGGACGTCGTCCTCCCGACATGAAAGACGCTATACAAATGTAATTTTGTTGTTATTGTTTTTCAGTCAGTACAACACCAAGCTTTAACAGTCGCCATTAACAATCTTCTGAGAGCACCCACGTATGTGTATGTATGGTTTATATTTGATTTCACTTTGGCGGGTATGGAGTACGCACTTTCCCAGATGCAGGCATCTGCTTACCAAACGATAGAGAATTTTGGAAAGATGCAAGGCTTTAATAATAGTAATTATTGCATTTGATCTCAAATTGGCTGGCATATTTACCCACAAATCACAGTCACACCACTTTACAGTATAGCCTGTGAAGTGTTTTGAGATGTCTCAATGATATGCTAAGGGCTGTAAACCAATGCAAGGATTATATATAATAATATCTTTCAAATTAACAACAACAAATTACATTTGTATAGCAGCTTTCATGTCAGGGGGACTTCCCAAAGCGCTGAAGGATATCTCAGAGTGCTTCACAGGATTTACTGTAAAGTGAAGTGACTGTATTTGGTGAACAAAAACACTACAACCCATTTGCGTACAGCAGTGTGGGAGCCAGCAACTTGAATTGAATTACCAATTTGTATCTGGAGAATTATTAGCCAGGACACCAGGAATGAGTTTTCATTGAGGAACTCATAGATATATTAAGTAATAGGAACACATTTATATTCTTTAACTCGTTCTTTGTGCTAATTAACATGATGACTGGCTTAAACCACCACAAATATCACACTAGAATATGCAGACACTCTACCTTCAAAAGAACTTTCAAGCATTGAAGAAAGTTCAAAGAAGGGCAACAAAATAATTGTGAGATTTAGAGCTGGTAAATCATAAGATTTAAGGAGCTGAACATGTTCTAATTGGAAAAAAGACCAGAGAATATCATTATATCAACACTGATCAGGAAGATGTGAACAGGCTATTTGACAGACTGTGAGAACAGAACTAGAAATGTAAAATTCAAACAGCCTTAGGGAAGTAGGCAAGATTTTTTCCCCACATAATATGAGAAACATATAAAATAAAAGTATTTGACATTGCATTTGTAAATCCCTTCAAAGAAGCGGTGGATAAGTATCTGCTTGAAAAGAGTATTGATGCATTACAGGGACAGATGTAGACTGAAATGAATGCTTATATCCTGCATGGAGGGGGGAAAATGTCTGCGTTTTCAGAACTCTACTGCCCACATTCTCACCCGCACGAAACTCCGCTCCCCGATCACCCCAGTCCTTGCCAGACTGCACTGGCTCCCTATCCCAGAGAGGATCGATTTCAAGATCCTCACCCTCGTATTCAAGTCCCTGCACTCCTCTACCTCTCAGACCTCCTCTCTCCTCAGCATAGTACCCGTTGCCTTTGTTCCTCTGGGTCTGGCCTCCTCCTTGTCCCCCGAGACTTCTGCTCCACCTTCAGTGGCTGTGCCTTCAGCCACTATGCCCCGAGGCTCTGGTACTGCCTTCCTCACGCCCTTCAACTTGCTCCCTCCCTATTTTCAGGTCTCTGCTAAAGACCTTTCTTTTCAACCACGCCTTTGATCACCTTCCAACCCCTCCCCTGTAAAGCGCTCTGAAACGCCTTCCGGCGTGGAGGACGCTATATAAATCCAAGTTGTTGTTGCCAAGGAATGGAAACCAAGTTTGAATTATTGTAGTAGAATTCACTCAATTTGTTTCAATTGCCATTGGAGTTCAGGGTGTATCTGTGTAAGCTGAAGTGGATGATGGGGTAGATTTTGTATGGTCTCTGGAGGAAACAAGGTTTGTAGTATCTCTGTCATGCTCATTTTTAAACTCCTCAGTCTATTCTAGTGGGTCTTTTCATTTCTTTATTTTGTAGATACACTACTGATTTAAGTATGATACTAATCAAGAGAAGAGAATTTTAACTTGGCCTACAAAACCTCTTGATAAAATGATCATTCATCTTGTGACTGTTATGTTTGCCTATACAAGTTCTTTCTTATCCTCCCGGTTATTTCAACAAACCAATGACAATAAATTTGTTAGCTCTGAAGAATTGGTTATGTGGACTATATTTTGACCGCAACTTATTGCTATCAATCTGCTGCTAGAGCATGACTGTTGTACACAAGGCAACAAAAGTGACCCAGGAAAGAAGACCACTAAATTTGACATCCATTGTGGGTATACTTATGGAGAATCTTATTTAGGATAAAATCAAAGAGCAGTTTAACATCTCATACAAAGGACAACACCCGCTGCACTACACTGAATGTCGGACTCCATAGCTTCCATGGGGATTCAACTCACATCTTTAAGACCCAGAGGTGCAAGTGTTACCAACTGAGCCAGTTTGACACACAATGTCAATGTAAGACATCCATTGTGATATCCAATTTCAGTGACAATTTATAACACATTTAAGAATCAGCAATATCATCCATAAATATAATCAAGGACCTCAAATCATTCTTACTTCTTGTTCCATATTATGCTGCACAAATGCTGTATTCGAGTCATATCTGTACCATGGTCCATACTCACTTTATGTAAAGAGGCACATTCCAAAAAGCGTTCCAACTCTCTCACATCATAGACCTAGCCAAAGATCTGTTTAAGACTATAATGGTACAAATTCATTCACAGTCACTTCCCATCGAGTGGGATTCAGTTTAACAGAAAGTCAACACAATAGATTCCCAAGGTTCAGACACCTGCTGATTTGTAGAGCAACACTGCACCCTCCTAAATGCTTGATTGGGACGATGAACTAACAGCAAACAAAAGTTTTTAGTGTTAGAACGTAAACTTGATATCCAGTAAATTTGATGTCCATTGTGGTTAAAATTTTGGAGATTCTTAAGGATAAAATCACAGAACACCTGGGCAGAAATCAAGTTATAAATTATAGCCAATATGGGTTCATGAAGTGGAGGTTTTGCCCAACTAAATTTACTGGTTTTCTTTGACGGTGTAACAAAGGAATTTGATAATGCTGTGGATGTTGTATATCTGAATTTCAGTAAGGCCTTTGATACTGTAAGTAAAATGGGAATAAATGGAAAAGCATTACAATGTATATGTAAATGGTTGCCTGGAAGAACTAGGAGAGTGGTGGTACAGGGAATGTCATCAGACAATGTGGAAAAATGTTAACTACTTCACATGGGCACAAAACAATCCAGGAAGGGACTATTATTTGAATGGAAGGAAAATAATATATTTGTTTGCTTACCAAAGTACCAATCCTTTTGTCTTCCAAACCCAATATCAAGTGGTTTCCGAAAGAACTCAAGTAATAAAATCATCTGGACTTCAAATTTTCATGGCTGTCTGCAGGACAGTGTAGGTCACACCCCAACAAAGGTTTATTTTGAGAAGGGAGCTCTACCTCTGCATATCCATCTTCTCCAGACTTTCCTCTCGCACTCCCAAGCCCCCAGCTTTATACTGGCACTCAATTATTCTTAGGGGCCGGTGCCCAATTATCACAAACTAATGCCCAACCCCTGTTAGCTCCCTTTAACAATAACCATAAAAGGCAGTGACAGGGTTTATGTTCCTATCACACTGTCATTTATTGAGTTATTTTCATACAGATAATCTTCTAGTGTGCTTTAATGTGTTTTCCATTTATTGTGATCTATAGTTGACAAATGTAACTTTTTCAACTCTCTTGGAATAAAACATCCACGTTTACTTGTTTCCAGTCTATTGGATGAAATTCCAGTGGACAAATATTAAAATAATTAATGTCATTTAGTTTTTGTTTTCCTGCCAGATCAGTTGCATTCACATCACCTTAGAACCATCTAGCAAGTGGGAATTGGTGCAGTCAATACAGAACTGGCATGCTCAAACCTATTCACAACAACAACTTGCATTTATATTACAGAGCAGCCTGTGCACAGCAATGTCCTACAAACAGCCATGGAGTGTGTGTTCAATTTTATTTGGGGGAATGTTGGCTAGCACATCAAGAGACACTTCCTTCTCTTATCGAATACTGCCAAGGGATCTTAACATCCACCTGAATAGACAGACAGACCTCAGTTTAATGTCTCATACAAAGGACAGTATCTGCGGAATT